TTTGTTATGCGTTTTTTGCAGCTATGCAGTGCAGAAAACGCATATTGACGAGAGGTTGTCTGTGTGTACGTGCGTGTCTGTTTGTGTGCGCTGAGCCTCCGTACCGATTTTCCATCTCAAGATCTACAAAAGCTAAGGGTTGAAACTTTGAGAACTTAGTCTACATGCATGTACGGGCCCGTGAAAGTTTTTTTCAAGCAAGTTGTTAACTCAAGAACCTGAAAAGCTAGAAGACTGGAATTTTAAGGAGCATTCCCCGTCCAAGTAGGTATTAATAAAAGTTCACACCCAGCTCTCGGGTATGCGGGGTACCCACGTATGGGCCCGCCAAATTTCTTCTAGGTAAACTGCTAACTTGGGAACCTGAGAAAATAGGAGATTAGAATTTTAAGGGGCCCTAATGAGTTCAAACCTGGCCCCCGGTTATGCGTGGTTCATATTTACGAGCCCGTGAAAGTTATTTGCGGGCAAGTTACTGAATCGGGAACCTGAAAAGCTAGAAGGCTGAAATTTCAAGGGAATTTTTTCCGTCCAAATAAGCATAAATGAGTTCAAATCCAGCACTCGGGAATGCGTGGTACCCACGTACGGGCCCATGGAAGGTTTTTACGAGTAAGTTGTTAACTCGACAACTTGAAAAGCTGGAATACTGTAATTTTAAGGAAATGTTCCCCGCCCTCAATGTTTATAAGCTCAAACCCAGCTCTCGAGCATGTGTGGTACCCAAGTACGGACCTGTGAAAGTTTTTTCGGGCATGTTGGTAACTCGGGAGCGTTAAAAGTTTGTAATTTTAGAGGAATGTTTCCCATCCACGTAGGTATTAATGAATACAGACCTAGCCCCCGGATATGAGTTCCCACGCATGGGCCTGTGAAATTTTTTTTGAGTAAGTTGCTAACTCGGGAACCTGAGAAGCTAGAAAACTGGAATCTTGAAGGGATGTTTCCTACACTTCTGGCGGCCAGTTTGAAATTCTTTTAGCTAGAAGCATCTGCCAGAAAAAACAGTGCTGTTAGCGACAAAAATCTGCGGGAAACTATGCAAAAAACGTATCTTCGCACGGGCAGTCCGTGCGTTGGCCAATTGTTTGTAAAGGGGGAGGGGTGAACTGACTCTTTTATGATTGTTTATAAATTACTGCATATCGGATTTACAGTAATCCAGGATAAAGACTCTACAGTAATCCGATAAGTAGAACCCCGTATTTCATACTAATAAATTATTGCACTGGATTTGAAGTAATCTGCTACAAAAATTTATTATCATTTGGTAGATCTGGTACTGGCATATACCAAGGAGTCAAACACACCATCTGTGTGCCTTCTAAATAACCCTCGAAAAAAGGAACCATCGGTAGCCTTGTTGTCGGACGTTTGCTGATGGTCCTTGCTGCTATTGCAGTGTTTCTTTCAATTTTCACTGAGAGTGTATACGGAGGGAATTTTAACTTCCCTGAGTAAAGTATGAATTTTAATTTGTTGCATCTTTTCCCAAATGTTTTGCTACTGGAGAAATGGCGATGAGGTTAAGTGAGTCACTTATCGCCCTTATGGACTTTAAGGACTTCGCTATGGGGTAATTTTTTTGATAAATTTTGACAGTTTCAGCTAATTTATGCGCCAACATTGAATGTGCGCAAGAGGCGGAATGTCGAGAAACCGAGCGAGGTCCGGTTTGTGAATGCCTATCCGGATATGTGGATATTTCTCGCCAACATGGTATGGCTGCTGGGCATGTTTGCCGGAGGTCATTGTTACTGAAATTTTTATATAGGGCAATGTGTTTAGTTGCGCATAGAATAAACAAAACATTACCTAACTGTCCAGAGAAACTTGGCCAACAGTAATAAAAACACAACAGAAAATCTGGCCGAGCCGTACTCAGTAAGCAATTTCATACCGGACGCACGAGATTTTTTCCGGATTATGGCAGTCCAATCCAGATATTCATGGGCAGTTTATAATGAATCCAAATTATAAAATCCAGATTTCATAACGCAAAAAATGAATTATAACAAAATGTAAAGGAAGCGATTTTTTAAGAAATACTCAAATATAAAATACGTTTACTACACTGACAGATTGTGTAGATTATTAAATGATTTTATTAATCATTGTAACTGTAATCATTACTGATTATTATTATCTTTACTATTATTGCCATTATTAATATTATTGTTATTCTCACATTATTTTCATTGTTGCTGTTGTTGTTGTTGTTATCATTGTTGTTATCACCTTTAGCACTACTATTATTGTTAATGTTTAGGGTGATTAACGAGTGTGCATCCAGCAAGCACGACTGTTCATCTTCAGCATCCTGTATCGATACAGCAGATTCATTCACCTGTCGTTGCCGTGATGGATTTCGTGACGAAAGTCCTGATCTCGCCAATCGTCCAGGACGTGTTTGTGTAAGGGGTCAGTTTCTTGATGTGTTTTTCCTTTCTCATTCCTAGAATTTGATTAATTTTTCTCACTTTAATTCAAATTTTCTATTTTTCTTCCTTTCTTCTTTCTTCCCTCAGGCGCAAAATTACAAGTCCCAACGCTTTTCTTTGTCTAAATTAATGGCGAAATCAAAATATTTTAGAAGGGAACGATTTGATTTCTTTTCAAATTTTAGATGGTGAGGCAGTTTTCTTAATGTTTTTACGGTATCTATTGAAAGTCTTTTCATTCCGTCATTAAAGTCGGATCGTAAAAGTATAATATAACCTCTTATGAAGAATACCAAGACTACTGGGGTTATCAGTGTGGGTGTTTCATTGCTAGATTACTGGAATGCTCCAATATCCCATGCTCAAACGTGTCGAGCCTTCCTAGATTGCTTAAAAGCATAATTTCCTTCTTTTTCCCTATTATTTTGAATTCTGTTTTTAGAAAATACTACTGGTTTTTCTGTACGTAAGAAACCGAGATCATACATTTTTCAAAAGACAGGGCCTCCTCTGTCTTACGTCGATGACTTAATTCTTCAGCCTACGGATTTATATCATATTTGGGAGTAACAGTTTTCCATGTAGCTCCCCTAACAGGGATCATCGTGTTCACAGGGCATATGAAAATCAGACATGATTTTTCTAGAGGACAAATCTGCTTCGCGCCTGTGTTCTTCTGACTCGATTAAACTACTGAACAGCGCCAGCATGTGCAGTACTGAAGTGGATCCGGATAAATTTTTCCAGATTTCGCGATAAAAAGGCAACATGCTCGTGTCCTTTGTCAACAAACAGGATAAACTGAAAAGTCGAGATTTAAAAAAAAAAAACAAAGAATGTCAAGATTTGCTTTTTTTTACAGCAGTAATCCCGGAACCGCCAGAATGTGACGTGAATGACCCGATGAGTTGTGATGCGAAGAAAAAGGAAGTGTGCCTATTCATCAACGGTACCTATAAATG